GCCTCAGTACTGGTCCACCAGCGAAATTACTCCGTCTTACCAATTGAAGCTCGGATGTAACTGGAATCCTTGAGGTCTGTAAACTAGTTTAGATGTCTATAAACTAATCTAAATGTCTTTGAAAAGCTCAATTATCTTATTAGCTTCCAGATATCAACCAACAGCTCGATACTAGAAGCTCTGAATATACTAAAAGACTCATAAATATAGGTTCTCCAGTTAGGTTCTCTATAGAACCTGTCCGAGTCTCAATTGGCACGAGGAGTACCCTCTCGTCCAAACGGCAAATATTGCAGCGCTGTGCCTGTTAAATCTTGCACTTGTGTAGTCCGACGGCTATTGCAAACGAGGTAAGGTAGCTTACAAGGCCGAATTGTTATACTTCCCAAATGCCATAGCCCAGCAACAAGTTACAATACAGCCGTTAGACAAGCGCTTGTTCCGGCGAGAACAGAGAACGTTCCATTGGCTCGTGGACCAGGTATTACCCCAACAAAGTCTTTGTACATATAGAGATTTGAGCTATGGAACTACTCCCCCTTCTCAACTGAAGATGAGTTTTTGCAGGGGTCAATTCTCTTTAAAAAGACCAAGTGGTGGCTCGTGCGCTCGCTCATCTTCAGTTGAGAATGGGGAGTAGATTGAATGGCATATGACTGTCTTGGTAAATAATAAGAATGAGGGCTTCACTATTGAGAAAATTATTGTGCGTCGTGCGGACGTTGCTGTGGTCATTGATTGCCGTTATAATGGAGCTCATTCGTGCGGAGGTAAAAATTAGATCTACGTCTACGATACGTGCACGAACGAAGGGGGTTATCTTCTATCGGCGCTCTTTCTGGTGAAGTTCCGCCAAAGCCGATATTGTCCTGTTTAATCTAGCGTATCACCTTAGCGGTAGATCATAATTTGGACATGAGTTTTGAAAGGGATTCTTCAGCGGAATATTTCCAAAGGGATTAATGAACATCTTGGAGGGAAGCTTAGTGAAGCTTTGGGCGGAGTGCAAAAGTTCTGTGTCTGCTAGAAGAGTTTGGTTCCCAGCTGGAGGTCTAGAATGTGATAGAGGTTCATAAGGGGTTTTTCGTGAGTCCTATCTTAGGCGTTGAAGCTCAGCAGTTGTCATACTTGTATAGTTAGTGGAGTGAAATGAATAGGTTAGTGGTAAATTCCGTTACCTGCAAGTTGCAGCACGTGATGGCGCGAATCTGAATACCGAATCATTGAGGTGAATTCCATGGTTGGCGCAAGCTTTTCCTTGCGGTAAGAACTTCGGACAAGAGCCTGGGAATTCGTCTGTAGAACGCTTGTAGCTTACAGGAGTCATTATACTCCCCGCACGTGTATTGGCACCTCAAGCCGACGAGAATCAATGCACAAAATCTCGGTGTGTTGAAGAATGAAGAGTGTTAGAAAGTGCGAAACCTCACACTCAAACTTCGATCCCAGAAGGCATCCAGGAGTCACAACCCAGCTCCTTCATTGATATGGCCCGCAAAAATAAGTGCAACTCGCATAAACGCGCGAATTCAGAAGTTCCAGCCTCAAATTCACCACCCCTTTCAAAAAAGCCCAGGACCAGCGAGGTCATCTCAAAACACAATGAAATTTTATCAAACAAGGCCCCTCCAGTTCAACCACGTGTACGTATACCTCGTGCGCCACCACCCGAACCACCATCATCTGTGCTGTCAGATCATATCCTAGTACCACCTGAGGCGGATGACATGAAGATACGGGACCACTACAATATTCATACTATTTCTGCCTCGAAAAACTCGAGTATACAAACTAAAGTACGACAAGTCTTGGACATACTTCGATACGAGGCGAATAGGTCGGAAGACATTACGCAAGAAGGAATTGATAAAAAGAAGGGCGCTATCGTGGCATTAACGGCTCGTGCGCCAGCAAGCAACAAGGCCATCAGCATTGCTGAGATTGCAAAAAGGGAGCTGGCTACTAAATGTTGGCAATACACTGCTTGTTGGACCAGGTTGGAGACCGTAGAGAATCAGGAAAAGAGCAAAAAGCCTGCAAAGGGCAAACCTGATGGCGGACCGGTTGATAGTGAGGACTTGTTCGAGGTCTTCGAAGATCTGCCGGAGAGAAAAATGGTGAGGAATGTAGTGTGTCTCGCCATATACCTCTCTACAGAACCGGTAGCACGGCTGAAAGAGCTCTACTCGCATCAGGTCACAGAAGGAGAGAAGTCTTGAAACCATGATAGGGTGGACACCATAACAGCTTACACCTGATCTGCCCTGGGACGCTAGGTATAACTCCTGGCTGACGCTGGCTGTCCTACACACGCAATGAAGAACAAAGGACGTGGTGCAGCGTAGGTTCTTCCACCAACTGTGTATCGATCGTACAACTGACACATCGTGTGGCAAAATAAACGAGCATGATATTCGGCTTGCAGCAAAAACAGCCTATCACGATTGTCATACCCAAACGCAATGCATCATGCAGTGCGTAAATGATCTTTGAATTTTACTCGTTTATTGCCCCAAGTACTGATCGATATCGGCATGCATCTCGCAACTAAGTGACCACGATCCGAAGTCACTGGCTTGATTACTGACGTACCAATCACAAATAATAGCGAACTGGACTTATTTGTTTCTACAAGATCGAAGTGTCGCCCAAAATGGTAACACGACATATTCGTCCCGCCGTTGTTTCAGCTCGTAGCGTAAGAAGCAAATATGACACCCATTAGCCTAATATGAGCGGACTATAAGTTCACAGCCTGTTCTAACACATTTCAAGCTCTCTCTTGTCTCTCGATATTCTCTTTTCCCAAGCATGAACATGGATACAGCATTTGACAGCAAGGCCAACGCTCCGATTTCACCTCATGTTTCTTCATCTTCTACGGCCGTGTTCGCTCATGATGCACAACCGCTTCTGCATAAGATTGACATTCGTATCCTTCCCATACTCGCATGGCTTTATCTTCTTCTCCTCATGGACCGCGTGAATATCGGCAATGCAAAGATTCTTGGCTTAGAGGCTTCGCTAAACATGAAAGATGGCGATTACGGCATCACTATCTCACTTCTCTTACTGGCGCAAATACTGTTCATGGTACCCGCTAATCTTACTATGAGGAAGATTTCTCCTTCGCTATGGCTAGGTGGGCTATGTGTTTGTTGGGGTAAGGATGCTGAAGGTAGTTCTTTTTTCCTCTAGCTTACTCTGGGCAATATAGGTCTTATCACACTTGGAACCGGGTTTGTCAAGACCTTTGCAGGATTGTGCGTCTGTAGGTTTTTCCTGGGAATGATAGAAGGCGCATATCATTCTGGTGAGTTCTTTGAAGTGCCAATGTCACGTATCCAAGGGCTAATGCACTATTACAGGATTTTTGTACTTCATGTCAATGTACTACAAGCGATATGAGCTGCAAAGACGATTCAACATTGTGTTTTGTGGCGCCATTTTAGCTGGTGCAATCTCAGGAGTATGTCCTTACCATTAGCCCAGTTCGAGTGGGTTTCGCTCACGCAATTAGCTTTTCGCATACGCTTGTGCGCAGCTCGACGGAAGAGCTGGTCTCGAGGGGTGGCGGTGGTAAGATTTGTCTGGAACCTATCCTCAGGTGTTAAGGGTTTTAACTTTGTGTAGGATTTTTATTGTAGAGGGCCTTATAACTATTGCTTCTGGTATATCAACCATCTTTGTTCTTCCAGATTGGCCTAATGATGGCAATTTTCTGCAAGGAGAAGAGAAAATCCTGCTAGATAACAGACTGAACGAAGATGTGCAAGAAGCGAAAATGGATCGATTTGATGCTGCCGCTTTAAAGTTGATACTGTCGGATTGGAAAATATACTGCTCGTGTGTATCGTCGTCGTTTTCGCGTCTGTGAAAATATGCTGACTATTTCACTTTCCTACACAGCTCAATCATGTTCTTCTTCTCTGCAAATTCCGGTTACAGTCTTGTCTTCTTCTTGCCGACCGTCCTTCGTGGGCTTGGTTGGACAGCGAACAGAGCGCAAGTCATGACCATACCAGTTTACGTGACCGCTATGGTAGTCACACTCATCACAGCCTGGATTAGCGATGGCATTCAGCACCGATTCAGCTTCGTTCTCATAGGAGTCGCATTCGGCATTATTGGCTACTCTATTCTTCTCGTCCCGGGCTTGCCTTATAATATTCAGTACATGGCAATTTACTTCTCCGCAGCCGGATTTTACGTCGCGCAACCTCTTCTACTGATTTGGGCGACCAATAACTGGGCTGGCCATTACAAGAGGGCTGTGGCCACAGCTCTGATTACTGGACTTGGGAATTGCGGCGGGTTTATATCGTCCAATGTCTATCGCGAAGAGGATGCACCGAGGTATCAACTTGGATTTGGATTTACTCTCGCTGGTGTCGTTGTTATTGGAATTGCGGGTGTGGTGTTCTTTTTCGGGTTGAGAGCTGAGAATAGAAAGAGGAGTCGTGGCAGCCGATTACATCTATTGGATTTACCAGAACATGACAGGGATAATTTAGGAGATGCACATCCTGACTTTAGATTTAGTTATTGATGTGAGAGATTATAGGATTTATATACTGTCTTGCGCAGCCTCGAAAGCGAGGCTTATCAGAGGAGCATATCTCTCCCAGGTCAAAAAAAGCGACCGATATTGGCTCGTGCACCCAGCGCAAAATCACCTAGTTTTAGAAGGATATCCCCACGTACACTAAGTAAATAATTCCTAGACTTCTTAGAGACTTTGTTCTAGTACTTATTAGTAGTCGAGGTAAGTTTTAGAGAATTTTATTCAGTGTGGTGGTGTGGTACTCTTCAAGGCTGACGTTGTCAATATCGGCCGCTTTTTTTGACCTGGGAGAGCATATGGAAGGGTATTGGTCGAAAAATCACCCCGCATTTAACGAATCGCCTTTATTACGCTCGTTCTACCACAACAGTTGGAGCAACAGAGCATACTTATCAGTTCATAAAAAGTAATTGGTTGGTAGATCTAGGCAAAAATATAGTCCTAGTGGGGGTCGAACCCACGACATCCGCATAACTTGCGTCATATTCGTGCGAGGACAAATATAAGAACGGCGCGCTACCACTGCGCCATAGGACTGAAATTTGGGATGTTTGGGATGTTTGGGATGTGGTGAAAAAATATATAACTTAACATATTTTTTTCAGATGAGAATTCACAAATTCTCGTGTAAAAAGAATATTGCTAAAATTTCCGTCTTTTTACTAGCTCGCTTAAGAAATAGTCGTAATAGATAGCGTTCAAGTATTCATAGTATAAATAGTTATCTTAATTCTAGAATAACTCCCTACCTACATAAGATCTCGATCTAAGATTATTAGAGTATAATCTTATTATATAAAGCTATTAACTATAGAATTTTAGTAGAAAAATATCAAGTTTGAAAATTGATGTTCTTAACGATCAAAGTTTTAGACGGATCACTACTAGCGCGAATTCTCATCTAAAAAGCATATGCTAAATTCTAGTACGATAAGCTAGAAGACAAGCTTATTAGCCAATCAAAATGCACGAATCCGGTCAATTAGTTAGACAGCTTTTGTATTGCCATTCTGGGAACATGTTACCGAAGTTTAACAACTTGGTGCAAGAGTGTTATTCCACCACTCCATTATTCAAGGAGATATCTACTAGCCATAAGGTCTAAATAACAAGCTAGGAGAGATATCACGAATAACAATTACATATCTATCACTCCCCTTCATATTAGGCTCGCCTGGAAAGCACAGTTAGTCCGGGCTAAGAGATTCGACACAACAGATTCAGCCACGAAGCATTGTGGGCTATAGTGCACTGAGCTGGGTGTAAAGGTATTTTAGCATCAGCATAAGTGGAATGACTTAACAAAATATAGATAATTCTTAGGTAATTCGTGACTGTTGCGGCCTGAGAACTTGAAGCGTTCTCCACCAGTTGGCACTATTTCGAAGATGTTCCGGAAGATGGACGCCTAACTAAACAGCTTCAACCTCTTCAAAGGCAGCGTATGCGGTTCCAGCGCTAGACGGCCTCTCCATTGCTGCTGAGACAAGGCTAAGTGATTACATTCATGCGTAACAGAAGTCGGGTGTGCTGCAATGTTGTTCGTTGGGGCTGATTCTCACAGAAGTGAAAGAGAAATGCATAACAGCTATTCTGAAATCAAACTCATATTCTTGTATTAAGGAAGTTCGCTGATAGTCGTTACGTGAATCTCTTCCTTTGCATTCATCTTTCGCCTCAATCCAGCACTAACTGGATACACTACGGAAAACCTCAGCATACCAGAGTTACAAGCAAAAACTTCGGGTCAAACATGTACTGACAACTTCTCCTCAGTCGATTGGAACTACCAAGCGGCTGAAACTTTTTCAACCCCAGCCAAGGATCAACCCTCAAATTCTCTTCCCAAAATGCCTTTCTCGCATAAATGAAACTGTCCTGCTTGGGTATAACGAGTTTTGCCACACTCTGCCAAGGATATTTCTCCGCATCCCACTCTGAACCAGCGTACTCAACTGGTTGATCCTCTAGATTTTCAAGCAACTGCACTTGGAAAAGATACTCCGCTTCGTGATCACGGTGGAAATTCTGCAGCCAGCGGTGGAGAATATCATCACCATCTACAGGTCTCGGTGTCTCCTCAGCAAGCTTTTTTTGCGTCGCAGATGAAGGAACAAGAGAATACTTGACTACGAAGTCACCATAGCGATAGGCTGTCTGCGAATAGTACCTTGTTGACTCCAGATGTGTGTTAGGGACTTGATCGCGAGCTTTTTGCAAATCTGTATCTTTGCGCTGTTCAAGGTGTTCGTATAATTCCTTCTTGTCATTGCCATACTTGATACGCAAATCGAGGATTTCTCTCGTAGTCCTGGCGTCAGCGAGTTCGATTGCGGGAGCGGAGTAAAACCCAATGTCTTGAGTTGGTATGTCTTTTCCTGCTTCGTATTTCTCACCCACGACCCCAAAAAGTTTCATCGCAAAGCCTCTAGGTTGAAGGATACGGTCCTGGTTTTTGACTGTGAGAGGCTGGACAACAAGCTTGAAAATTTACGTACATCCAGACCTGGGTCTCCTGGTTCGGAGCTATATCGACATGCCACATCGTACTCGCCACCGTGATCGAATAGCTCCGTCTGCTTGAGATGTGCAGGTAAACTGTCTTCCACAATGAATTTGGCTTTCACTATGCCCTGTGTACGAGCATGTGTTCCTCCAAAGCAATGGCGACCTTTGTTGAACTGAACCTTTTGCATGTGGTTGGTTTGTTCGCATACTATTTTGATATCCTCTTCTTCGTTTGGTTGGATCTTCTCCACACCTTCAGCTTCCCAGGAGATGTACTTACGTGACGCGAGATTATCCGAATTGCCGTTCATGATTCTGGAAATGAGATTTATTCACGCTACAGAGAAAAAATGAACTTACGAGATGAAGAAGTTATATAAAGTTGATGTCAGCATACAGGGCTTGGAGCGGATTGTCATATCGTCATAATTGCAGTGGGGAATTATAGTCTAGACTTTAGCATTAGGATAAATAGTCCAGTGGTAAACCGACTAATTTAGCAGGTCTAAATATTTAGCACATTTAAACTTATGTGATGAAGTGGCTAGCAGGTTACTGGCGGTGTTGAATCATCACTATGATGTCGACAGTGTCATCGCGAAATTGTCGATCCCACGTTGATGAATTCCAAATATTGTGTTCTTGAATCTTGTGTGAGCCAGAAGTGCCTGTGTGGCGTGGAAAAGCTGACAGATCATCTTGAATTGGATGTAGTGAATGAGTTTCCAGGTTGAAGCATAATGTCGTGCACCAGACACCGCGCTCACTCAGGCGGTGAGAATGGTTTTAAGGGCAACGATTTCCGAGTGAAGGAGACAGGGCTTCTTGTAAAGATCTGAACACATTTCCGTTCATGATTCCTGCGATACGGCAGCTTTGGCGCGATACCGTCAGAAATTTGCTAGGAGGTAGACAGGAGGTCAACATCGAGGGAGGTGTCGATGATGTTTTAAAGTCAAAGCCTTTGTAGTCCATGGACCACATTCTATGACTTTAACATGCTTTGCAAGAGCCCGTTCTCGTTGATCACACTGCTCGTTAGAATATGGAAGTAATAAAAACATGGTGTTGTTTGTGCAAGGGGTACAAACGATCGCCAAGATATAACCTTAACCTTAGGATGGATATCGAAATCTGGCAAGAGAGCGCATTACGTACCCCTACAAAATCAACCACAACCTCAATTTGAGAAAATGCTGTAAAGCAATCGCAAGCACTATAGCCGACTCAAAGTCTAGGAAACAGTCAACTTGACAATGTCAGCCCCGGCTAGTTCTGAACCTCTAACATCTACTGGTCAGTATCTTTAAGCCCGCAATACATGCGCGACTCATTAATCCTTGCCGCGCATGGCCCTCGCCCTCTTCTTCTCTGGGCCAACATCGTGGTTTGACTTGATACTAACAACATTGGTGTTATAAGTTATAGCTTCTTCAACGCCGAAGATTAAGAAGAAGAATAAAAAGAAGAAGGTTAGCGCGATAAATGCGGTGAATACGGAGACAAATGGAGAGGTTACCCGCAATGGAGTGAAGAATGGAGCGGAAGCGGAAGAGGTTGGAGAGGAGGAAGAAGTAGAAGTAGAAGTAGAAGTAGAAGCAGCTACAGTAGGGATCGTAGTTGCAAATGTTCAAAACCATGCTGATCACATCTAACAGCCTGTGGAAGTCCCAGTCACGGAGGAGGACGGAGAGGAAAAGGAAAAGGAAAAATCTATCCCATCTCAAAAAGAAATAGCGCCTACATCGAAGACACCACCAAGGACTAATGGACTACAACCGAGTAGTGGTGCCGATACATCAGAAAGACTGGAAGCTTTACAGCAGGAGCGCGACGCCTTACGAACAGAAGTCTCCGAGCTGCGCAAATCACTCGAGGCCATACAAAACAAGCACGAGAGAGAAGTCACGGATCTGCAGGATAAACTTGAAGAGTCAAATTCAGGCAAAGACAATGCTGAGAATCAATACCAGGAACTCCTGGGACGAGTCAACACCATCAAAGCTCAATTGGGGGAGAGATTGAAGTCTGATGCCGTGGGTTATGATTGCGCAATTACACTTGCTTCCTGCTCTAACAGCTACACAGCAAGACCTGGCCCAAGCAAGATCTCAGATCGAGGAGCTTGAAGAGCAGAACCGGTCTATAAAAGATACAAACGAATCCCTCGAGGAGGACCTTGCGAAACTGAAAGCTGATCACGAACACCAAGCACAAGAAGTATCTACTCTCAGGAGCCGAGCCAATTTATCACAACAAAACTGGCTAAAGGAACGAGACGAGCTGATATCACGCGAAGCTTATGCGCGCGAAGAGTTTGAAACTGCAAAACAAGCTATGCAAGATTGGGAAGTGCTGGCAATGGAAGAGCGGTCGTTGAGGGAAACTTTGACGGAGAAGGTGGCTGAGATGGAGGAGCAGATAAGTTCACAACGGGAAGCACTTGAAAGGGCTCTGTCCGAAAGGGATACGAATTCAAGCACGGTTGATGGATTGCAGAGAGCACTCAAGGATATCCATGAAGGTAAGTTCGTCAACATCGTACCGGTGCGCTTCTGCTCACCTAAAGTGCAGCACGGAAAAAGGAACTCCGCGAGCTTGTGGAGACATCCCAATCGCAGCTTTCTGAGTTACGAACACAACTCCAAGCGGCTGAGGAATCTGCATCATCAGCTAATGCTTTGTTAAAAACGACACAAGCAGAATTGACGCGTGCACTTCCCTTTGAACAGGAAGTAAAGGAGAAAAATTTACTTCTGGGAAAGCAACGGCACGAAACCGTAATATTGAATGACCATCTTACGAAAGCTTTGCGATTCTTAAAACAAAGGAAACCTGAAGATATGGTTGATAGACAGCTGATTACCAATCATTTACTCCACTTCATTACATTGGATAGGGCAGATCCAAAGAAATTCCAGGTTCTCCAACTTATCGCCGCGCTGTTGAGCTGGAATGATGGTATACACAATCCCTGTGGCTCAGTAGATCCAGTACTAACACACCAAACCAGAACAAAAAGAACAAGT